ATAATAATCTAACCTTGAGGTCATGAATGCAAGAATTAACGTTTCTGCATTTGATATTTGGAGCATAGGTCGTAATTTAGATATATTTTTAAGATGGAAAAATGCGGTTTTACAAATGCTAGAAACATGGTTTTCAAAGAAAAGATTGCTATCAAATAGCACACCTAGGTTCCTAACTGATGAGGAAGAATTAACAGAGCAGCCATCAAGTACTAGACAGTGTTTTAGGTTATTAAATGCGGAGGTTTTTGATCCAATAATTAAAACCTTCATTTTTTTTTTTTCTTTTTTAGAATTTAGCAGTAGGAATTTACTAGTCATCCAGTTTTTTATATCAACTATGCATCCCTCCATCATCCTGGAGGGATGAAGACCGTCTCCTCAACAGGCCTGGTCTGCCCCAAAAACTCTTCCAATTGTCTATAGCCCTATTCGGACGGTAATTGTTTCTCAGGGGGACGTGTCAAAAACGTGTCAAAAATCCCCGGCCGAATTACCTACTGTTTTTTGACAAACACAAAGGTCGTGTGGTAATTTAATTGCCGTCCGAATCCACATCTCTAAATTTAAGAGAAGAAATTGATTCAAAATTCAGTGTTTAAACACTTTTTGAGCACAAGTGTTACCGCTAAACTATATCATATGATACAAATATAAGACAAAAACCCATAAACTTTTTTACCCTTATATCATGATTTTTAGGGGTATAACTGCATTCTAATTAGCTACATCATGCAGTCAGATATCGTCCTGAATCATGTTCGTCAGCAACTGCATGACTTACAGGTCTGGGCCAGGGCGGGATGCATTAAATGCTAATTTTAGCATAGTATTTTTTTCCAAAATGAATAGCACAAAATTAATGCGTTAAACCGACAGCCCTAGTAGTAAATAAGTAATCAGTACCCTAAAACTAGGCTGCAGTGTTGCAATTAGTTTAATTCAGATTCTAGAATTTGTAACATACAATTCAATTGATGCTACAGGTGTGAATTCATGGGATGTTGTAAAATGGATTGATCCAGTTCTGATTGGATGAGCCTTCCTCGAAGCTCTGCCAGCTGATAACAGAAAATCTCATAAACTTGCCTATTCTATATTAATATGGCAGGTTATTAGGTTCACTGGCAACTGTTAAAAATAATAATAATAATTGATGGTAATTATTTGACACAATAAGACACAATTCACTAGAACCTAGACCTATGTCTAATGTTAATACATTTATTAATTATAATTAGCACAATAAACATTTTTTCTTAGTGTAGGCTGAAATCTTAAAACTTTAATGTAGAATTCAGCATTGATACAGAATTCAGTTTATCACTAGTAAAATAATTAATATACTTAATGTTTTTTTTTTTTATTTTGCAGTGAAGTTGTATTACAATTGTAATATGTTTCTGTCTTAGAGATATAATCTCTAATAATACATTATTATTATTATTACTATTATTTTATAGTAGTAGTAGTTGTTGTTGTTGTTATTCCTAAAAACACTAGTGTGAATGTAATGTTGACACTGTCTACTAATGTTGACTAAAAAGAGGTTTGAGCCCCCTTTAAAATCCAGGTATAAGTAAATGCAAAGCCTTTTTTTTTTTTTGACTATTTAATTTTGTCACTGTTGCAGTTCATATTCAAACAGTGCCCCTTGCATAATATTCATTATTAGAGACAAGAAAACGTTGTGTGACTAGGTTTATTTCATATATTGATTGTTCATCTGATTAATGATTTAATGTAATAAGCTGTAACTCTCCATTAGCAGAATGTTACTTGACCAAAAATAAAAAATCCTGGTCAAATAAGAATGATAGCTTCTGTTCTACTGGCAATATATAATCTATGATTGTGTTTTCTAAAGATATGTCCAAACGTACAGACTACCAATAACATTAGAGAGACAAGACTAAAAACGTCTACAAGCAGCATTACAGAACAGAAAGTAGTGACATGCAGCAACAAAGATGCTTGCTGTGTGAACGCATCTTGTGACTGCTGGCCTGGTGCTGCTGCGCTCTTGAGCTGCTGGAGCTGTGGGCCTGCAGCTGGACACTATTGGATACTTTTAAGACCAGGGTTCTTAACTCTGACCCTCGAGATACATTTTCCTGCAGAGTTTAGCTCTAACCCTGATCAAACACACCTGAACAAGCGAATCAAGATCTTCAGGATTACTAGAGAGTTACTAGCAGGTGAGTTTGATCAAGGTTGTAGCTAAACTCTGCAGGAAAGTGGATCTCGAGGGCCAGAGTTGAGAACCCTTGCTTTAAGACCTAATGCATGGCCTAAGATCTACATAATGCATTATACTGTATGAACACACATAATTTACTTCATATTTACTTAAGGCCTAAAAAACTGCATTTACATGAATAATCACGAAGACGGACCTAAAAAAAAACACAAAAAGTAATTCATTACTCATGGTGTAATAGGTGGCTTGTACAGTTGTTCTCAAAATTAGAGAACAACCTATAAATACTTGATTTATTTCTGAAATATTGTTAATCTTCATTGCTCAAAATTTGAAGGAATATCAGCTACGGGTATACCACTGCTCTACTAACATGTTTGACAAAATAGCCATGGCATTTCAACAAAAACCTTTATTTTGTGCAAAACAGTGATTGAAATTAGACAACAGTAACTACTGTAGCACGAAAGAAGATTTCAACAAAAATTGTGGCAGGTTACAGCTGTCAGAAATTCAAAGCCCCTGCTTTGAATGACTTCAGCACATCTGCAGGACATCGCTAGTTTCTCACACTGCACTGGTGTGATCTTGGTCCACTTCTCTCAGGATAGCAGAATGAACAGGTGGGAGAGGGGCAGAATGTGGGAATATTATCCACGTATTAATTGATTGCAGATTGTTTTTCTCTTGGATGGATAAATGGGTCACTGAATATGGGTCACTGAATGGGTCACTGAATATGCAGTGCTTTGGCTGCCCAAGTTAAGTCTATGTGTGGGAAACACTTCATTAATTTCAATATTAAGACATGAATAATCACGAAGACGGACCTAAAAAAAAACACAAAAAGTAATTCATTACTCATGGTGTAATAGGTGGCTTGTACAGTTGTTCTCAAAATTAGAGAACAACCTATAAATACTTGATTTATTTCTGAAATATTGTTAATCTTCATTGCTCAAAATTTGAAGGAATATCAGCTACGGGTATACCACTGCTCTACTAACATGTTTGACAAAATAGCCATGGCATTTCAACAAAAACCTTTATTTTGTGCAAAACAGTGATTGAAATTAGACAACAGTAACTACTGTAGCACGAAAGAAGATTTCAACAAAAATTGTGGCAGGTTACAGCTGTCAGAAATTCAAAGCCCCTGCTTTGAATGACTTCAGCACATCTGCAGGACATCGCTAGTTTCTCACACTGCACTGGTGTGATCTTGGTCCACTTCTCTCAGGATAGCAGAATGAACAGGTGGGAGAGGGGCAGAATGTGGGAATATTATCCACGTATTAATTGATTGCAGATTATGTTTTTCTCTTGGATGGATAAAAACATAAAAATTTTTTAAATGGGTCACTGAATATGCAGTGCTTTGGCTGCCCAAGTTAAGTCTATGTGTGGGAAACACTTCATTAATTTCAATATTAAGTGTCTTTAAAGCAGCACTATGTAACTTTTGGCGCTCTAGCGGTTAATAAACAGAACTGCACACATCCCGCGGAAGAACATTCCAACCGGAGCTACTTCTCTAAGTTTATGTCTATGGCGATTCACGCAGGTATGTGTTACTCCGCACGACCCGACCAGGCTACAATAGTTCAAATATAAGTACTTATTATAAGTGTACCGTAGTGATTCGGAATAAGACAAAAACGCGGTTTGGAAGATGAATTCATGATGTACTCGCTCATTATATACATTTAGCAAATTTTGAACACAAAAAAAGTTACATAGTGCTGCTTTAAAGGGTTATGTGTCAGTAGTTGCTGTTCCCAAAAAAAGCATTAAAAAAATGGCACGCCTCACATATGACCCTGTTATGCAGTGTCCTGCCATCAGCAGGACCTGTGGGGTGGAAATCGATGACTGAGAGTGAGAGGGGCATGCTCAATTTACTTAAAATGAAGGAAAGATTACTTGTAATCTCAAAACTGATGTTGA